CTGTTATTGAGTCAAGTGGCGTGGTTTCGATTCCCCGCTTGTAAGTGACAAGAAGTAGGGTCGTCTGTCCAACCTCGTGGGTTTTCGTCGGGTCCTCCGGTTTCCTCCCACTGCTAAAGACCCCTACGGGCAAGCGAATTATTGAAATAAATTTGAACCGTATGATAATCTCGAAATGACCTAGTTTGTGTCGAGTGGATGCTAAAACACTACTTCGCTCTCTTTCAACCCGATTGAATCCAAACCGGGGGATTATATAGCATTGATATTCTCATTTTGCTTTATTAATTAAATGTTAAATATTGTCTAAGAAATGTATGAACGGGATCGGCGACATTAAGGCTTATCTCAAAAACCCGAAAAATTGTGTACTTGTGTGTAGAATATTCAGTTTTATGGTGAAAAATATTAAGGCGTATCTAAAGAACACGAAAAATTGTGTACTTGTCTAGAATATTCAGTTTTATGGTGAAAAAAAAGATTATGATTATTTCATTAAAAGTGAAACAAAATATCCCCAATTCATCGTTAATAGTCCAACTACGTAATTCAGCCTTGATACAGTCATTATTTATATAAGTTATTTTCTAAAAGTCTTACTTATAACGGTTTCTATTACCAAGTTTAACGCTGAATTAACCCGGAAGTAAACAACCGTGAATAACTGGTCCGCAGTTGTTGTATCTTTACGCGCATGATTGGTTAAAATTTCATGGTTCTTAATCTCTGTAATACGGAATGAAAATAACAAAATAATTACATTATGTGTGTTTGATGTTCAATTAAGCAAACATCGTGTTTTAGTTAGCAGCCATTTTAAGTCAGATATTGATGAAAGCCTTCAAGTTTGTTTGTCTTTTGTTTCATTTGTACACGTGAACAACTAGTAATTGGTGACATGATTGATCATATGCAGCAAGTTGCTAACTTTAGAGAATTCATTTTAATTTTTTTCGAGAATTCATTTTCCTTTCCCCTTCATTCTCTGACACACGGAGTCCGACAGGTGCTTATACCTTTGGTGTCTAGTCGCCGATTGCGATCTCTACTCTTTTTCTTGTAGACGGCTGGAGCTATTTGTCACATGTGGTAAGTCAATTCCAGGGACTATTTCCCACATGTAGTAAGTCTGCATACCACATTTATCAACCGATTTTAATGAAACGTACAGATTATGATAACATTATTAATATCTCAAGCCAGGCAAAATGTCAACCACTTCCGGTCAGCGGGTTCGGAGCTATCAGGTTACCACACAGTTCATGTGGCACGACTGCAGACCGCAATTATCAACTGATTTCAATGAAACATACAGATTACGATTATATATTAATAACATCTCAGAGTAGGCAAAATTGCGGCCATTTCCGGTGGGGGTTTCGGAGATAGCAGGTTACCACACATTTCACAAGGCACGGCTGCAGACCAAAATTGTCAACCGATTTCATAATCTGTAGGTTACATTGAAATCGGTTGATAATTTCGGTCTGCATTCGTGCCACAGGAAATGTGTGGTAACCAGATACCTCCGAAGCCGCCACTAACCGGAAGTCCGTGCAGAAAAGTAGGACATTAAACCCCATTTCATTTTAATGTATTTATAGCACCGTATTACAGAAGATAATTTGATAGAACCTTTACAGCACATTTCAATTTTTTGAGAGAGATTCTATTATTTGAGTGAGCTTTATTTCTTCGTGTCACAAAATTGAAAATCATCTGATAAAAGCAGAAATATTTGAGAAGGAAAATCCAATTAAAGTACAGCACTAAACTCCATAATTAGAGTTTTAGCGACGGGAAATTGCTCTTAAGTGACTTATGATTATTTTCCCGCTGAGTCTTATCGTAAAAACAAACACAGGAACATTACACTCAAATATAAAAAACAAAATAATTATAGGCGGTCTCAAAGGCGTAATGGAATAGAAAAAAAAGCGAAAAACGACAAAAATAAAAGCAATTTTCAATGGATTTAAATGGACTTGATTCTAACGTTCGAGAGGAAATTAAATTCTACAAACTATTCATCATTAGTGTGTTTTTTTATTTATTTATCTTTATTTTCTTTGAAGAATGGGCCAATGTCAACACGTCACGGATAACAAATAGCAAATTTCCCTGTATAATTCTGATTATTTGTTTTTCCATAAATGGATTTTATTTTTACTTTCGATATCATTTTCAAGCTATAGTGTCTGCACATAAGGCACCCTCATTGAAGTCTGCATTCGGGTGCTTGATTGATATAACGCGTGTGCTTTAGATTCCCAATCGCTTGTCTAACCTCGTGGGTTTTCTCCAGATCCTCAAGTTGCAACCCGTGTCTAAACAAGATGACACCTAAAAAAGCCGGAAGTATGCTTATGGGGTCTGTGTTTAATCAACCTAGGAATAAATGTACCTGGCCAACAATCGCTGCTTTTCTTGTCCGGACATGACGTCGGAATTCCAAGATGGCTGCGATGACTTTATGCTTGATTCCTTGCTCACAGTCCTCTAGTCCTTGTATGAATATTATTAACAAACAATGCTAAAATCGAACAGGGTTGGGTAAGGAAATGATCTAAGGCGTGTGTTTTAGATCATAAGGTCTGGCATTGAGTCATGTGCCGTGGATTTGATGTCAAGCTTGAACGTGACAAAATCGTGGCTTTTGTCTGGATCCTGCGATGCTACCCCTACTGCTAAAGACTCCTACGCACAAGCGCACTACTGAAGTAAAATTAACCCATATGTAAGTCCCAAAATGACATAGTTTTTGTCGAGTGGACTTTATTTCACATTTCTCTATTGCTAAAGCCGTATAAACGAAAAAAGAAAACATGGCGCATGGTCTTCATAATAGCATATTTAGATGTATGGATTCGCACCAATTTCTATCACGACCCGTGGGTGGACTACGATCAATTTTACTCAAAGATTCCTTTTAGATACGATTCCATTTCAATTTGCGAACTTGTTTCATTTTTTTATCTGAACAAAACCCTCAATCAAAATATCTTTCAATTCCTCTTGACTAACTGACTGACTGACTACATATTCGATTGAGGTCATTGCTTAAACAGATAAATTTTTACAGTGTTACGTGTTTTTATATGAAGGTTAATTGTATGGGAAATGAAATGAAATGGGGTTTAAAGATACATTGTCTCGGGTGGTTATTCCCAATAAAAGTTTGGCAAATTTGATATATATGGAAAGCATCGACACCCAATCTTACCAAAAAATAATACTGGGGCATGCAATAGACGTAAATGTCAGGGTATCAATAACTGGCAACACGGCTGTCAGCTTAGTGTGTGCTAGCTTGACCATGGGAGCGGTTGTTATGTCTTGATGAAATGGTTAGGCGGTTTTGGGAACATTGATGAGTGTCGACGCACAAAGACTCTGTAATTAAACGGCGGGAAAAGAAGTTGACATAAAATAATCAAGAGTTTACTTAGGCCTCAATATGTATGATACATCGACAGTAAGTAGAATCTGGAAAACGAACTCTCCCTCAATGAATTGAGCTGACAGACATGGCGTCTAATAACAGTTTATCACCCCGCGAAAACAAAAGATTTGAGAGGGATTTGAAGCAAAATTTTGATAGATTAATTCGTTTGAATATGTTTCTAGTCCAAATATATCATCGAATCACACAGTTTGTACGCGGGATAGCATCATTAACGTCTTACTTTTGTACACGAACCTGACTAAAGAATGCGGACATGCGCCAAACACTCTGCTATAAAGACGTGACGTGATGCTAGTCGTTTTCGTCACTGGCTGGATTATATGATGCCACTGGAAACAGTACAGACCCAGGGCAGATTTGGCACAAAGTGGAATTTCTGTACCCGCTTGCGTTCCGTTTAACAGGAAGCACATCGCCGTAACGGCCCAAAGAACTCTTTTACTGTCTTTCACGGCAAGGGTTTAGTCGGCATCATTTTACTTGTACTTAGGGACGCAGACAACACATTTCTGTGGGCCAACGCCTCGCACACCCAGTCCTAACAAATCACAACCGGTCCGTATGGTACTCGAATATCGTAGGTAGGCCTAAGTGATCATGCGACGAATCACCCAGGGTCTTGAAATCAGTCGCAGACCGATCGGGAGCGGGTTCTTTTGTGTGAGTACTGAGATGACCGGGGAATAATACACGGGAGTATCAAAACTAACCATCAAAAAAGCAAGATGAATAAGAAAATAAATGATATTAAAATCAGGTTGTTGAAGTGATTGCATTTGAATATTTGAATATATCCAGACATGGTAAAAATTTCAAAAATGATAGAACGCAGATGTAGTTATTTATCTCTTGAAATCTAAATTTAATATTTTTCTTAGCAGTTTATTTGCGACAGTCGCATGGCGCGTTTTCCATAGGACGACAATTGTTCCCAGACAGTGGGGTTTCAGCCTACGCTCCGAACTGTTTATGAGTCTTTTACGTGCACATCCATTTGCATACGGGACCTCGGATTAGAATCTCTTCCAAACGACTAGGTGCTGTTCCTTATTAAAACCTCCGCCCTGCACCACAATGCCCGTGGAACTTTCTCGGAATGGGTGGAGAAATTAAATGAACTGGGCTAATGAAGACGGTCATACGCCCGGACACTACGGCCTACTGTTATATCGAATTCCAACTGTAAAGAGATATTTTACGTGCACGTCAATGTGTACACGGGAACTCGATTTTTCGTCACATCCAAACGACTAGACAGCTGTCCTTGTCAGGCCCTCCCGTCCTGCATCACTGGATGAACTTTCTCGGCTAATGCAGGGATCGAACACCCGACCTCCAGGTTAGCAAACCAGCGTCTTACCCACCGTGAATGGCTGGAGGGGTATCTAAACAACAGCATTTTACTTAAAAAATATTTACTAATACACATGTTGATATAACTATTTCACATTATTAATTCACTTACAACTTTTATTATTTCGTATAAATCTTAGCTTTTTCTTTCATTTTAAAATTATTGCAAATAAATTCTTACCTTAATATTAAATCTGAATAATTTCCCATTTTATATATTATTATTTAAAACTGAAAATACAAATCCAGATTAAGAGACTAGAACACAGAAAGTTATAAAGTTGTTTCTCTACGACTTCTTGTGCATTGAATATCAGTGATAACTAACGGTATATTGGTAGCTAACAGAACGCGAGAGGCACGCGCACATTGATTGGTATATTAGTCACGTGACATTGTATATAGACGTTACTATTAGTGAAAGTATTAGTAAATGAAATGAATTGGAGTTTAACGTCCTACTGTTCACGGGCCTGTTTCACGAAATTTTAACTTAAGATAAAATCCAAATTTTAGTAGATACTTCAATTTTGATTGGCTAAGCACTAAAATCAATCTAAAATTATCCAATCAAATTACTAAAATTTGGATTTTATCTTACTTAAAATTTGGTGAAACAGGCCCCTGCTCTGACTGGGCTAATCAAGACGGACATATATCATACAGTGTGCTATGAGGGAAATTTTGCCCTGGCAGAGGCATTATGGCCTACTCTTATATCGAATTCCAACTGCCAAGGGATCTTTTACGTGCACGCCAATGTGTACACGGATCCCCAGTGTTTCGTCCCACCCGAACGACTAGACAGTTGTGCTTGTGAGGCCCTCCATCCTGCACCACTGACAAGGTGAACCCACACCGGAAAATCCCGATAAAGTCACCTCCGGGCTAGCCAGCCAGCGTCTTACCCATTTTGCCACGTATTAGCGAATACTTTCAGAAGGGTGGTTGGATGGGGGGGGGGTCTAATTTCAATAATGGACCCTGACCATCCAATACTTTTCCCAATAAATTCATGCCATTCACCATATGTTTGGTGCTATATAGCCAGGTTGGAGCTGACGTGCCATAAAACTCCATTTCATTTCCCAATGTCACAGTCATCTGACACACGGACGGACCGAGTCTGGTCCACCAATGGTGACCCCACTCTAAAAATGACTGTAAACGTGTTTCCTTAGAGTATATCTTGATGTTTTAGCTGTTCTATAAATTTAGCGTGTGCCAATCTGACCAATTCTTAAAAAACAACGTAAATTCAAGACTAAAAAGAGCACTTAAACCAAAAAAGAGCCCCAAACTATGTGAAAAAAATAACTACCTTCAGCCCCCACCCTGCACGCTCCTTCTCAGTAGATCCCTGATTTGATAAATAATATTAAAAGAGGTTTACTGTTTCGATATTTTGCAACACCCGGTCTAGGGAATCTTATAGGCTGTGACGTCATTTTCGTACAGGATTTTCCAAATTCATGTCTGTGTACTTTCTGACCCCATTCCATCCAAATCATGAATATTCCCTCAAACCTACCAGACAATGTAAATACGAGCACTTCGATTCTAAATCAAAACCTCGACAAAAATAACCGTACAAAATGTGCGGAAAACACCCAAATAGTTGCTATAAATAGACCAATTATTATCGTGACATTGAAGAAAATAATTACTAGACTTAATCCGCTATGATAAGGGGAATTTCTTCCTGCTGTGGTAATTGTACACCATTCTTATATTACTATATGGTTAATATACTCTTATACTTAAGGTAATCACATGGTGCCTACAGTTCCTGAAACTCCTGTAATCAGTGATTTGTCATAAAATCATATTATCTGCGCCGTATCAATGTTACTTTATGTTCGCAATGTATCGCCTAAATCATAGAAATTATTATCTGGTAATCATCATGCAGTAAATTCGTTTGAATTTCCCAGTCTTTATTAGCTTGGTTGGTGCAGAGATATTTGTAACCCCATTCCGTTCATTCGACTAGTTGGTGCAGAAAAGTAAGACTTTAACCTCGTGTATTTTCATTTCGTTTGTCTTCATTTGCCTGCTTGGTGCAGTGATATTTGTAACCCCATTTCTTCCATTCGAATAGCTGGTGCAGAAAAGTAAGACTTTAAAGTAGCTAAGTCTCTAACTCATTATCAGCCAAAATCTTCAACATTGAAAACACGATTTATTTGTCAAATTAAATCAACATTCATGTTGTGATCTTACCGGAAAAAGAGGGGCTTTTGATATCCAATATTTAAGACAAAATAAACATTTTACCATTGGTACACGAATCGTGTACCATAATGCGCTTCAGCCACAGATGTATCAAGAGACTCGAGGGACGAGGCTAGACACATTGCACCAAATCAAACGGCGTATGTGCACTGGAATAGAAATTTGCACTCGCTTGAGACTGCTGGCTTATTTCGCCGAACATAACTGATTTGAAATTGGAGTAAAAACGGAAACCATTGAATGAAAATCAGTTTATATACATTCATATTACAGTATTATATGCGTTGCGACCCACTTTTGTCAATTTCTAGGTGCCAACTGTTAGCGATTTAGCTCCTTTAACCTCGTGTATTTTCATTTCGTTTTCCTTTTTCATTTGCCTGCTTGGTGCAGAAAGGTAAGACGTAAACTCCTTTTCGATTCAATTAACAAGGCAAAATTGGCCTGGTCATGCGTTAAGGGACATGAACCCGAAGTACACGTAACAAGAAAAGCTGGAAACTGAAAAAAAGGTATTGAAAAAGTTGCAAGCATTCGGTTGAAAGATCATTTGACTCCGCAATTACTGTTAGATCAGCATCAGTCACCTTACCGACAAGGCCGCATGCAGGGGTAACTGCTGTTCCTTACTAATTTTGAATCTTTCGGCACGATCGATCCATTGGTGCTTCTTAAGAAACTCCACGTTGAGTTTGACATTGGAAAATGTCCTGGCTCGGTTTGAATCTTACCTTCTGTTTGTAGTAATCCTGTATAGATTACAAACACTAAATCAGATTCTGTTAATCTTTCGGAGTTTCTGGGTTCCGTGCTGGGACCAGTGCTATTTGTACTTCACACAGTCAGTGTCGCCAATATACTTAAAAAGCACAAGCTTCTGTACCACTGTTACGTTGATGATAAAGAAATTGTTGATAGCTGATATTCTACAGATTATGAGGGTTCATTTAGCAGAATCACATTATGCACAAATCATGGATGACTAATAATATGCTCAAACTCAACAAGGAAAAACACACAGCTCATTGTTTTGGTACCAAACAAAAGCTGTCAAATAAAACAGCATCTACCGTCCAAATTGCTGAGCCCCAAATAAATATTGTTGACTCGGTTAAGGATCTTGGTGTCCATCTTCATTCTAAGCTTAGTATGGAAAACCATGTCAATCAGTTGTGTAAAATCTGCTACTCCAGTTTATCCGACAGATTCGACATCTTATTACAAAGGATGCTGCTCATACTTTAGTCTGATCATTAGTGTCTTCACGCGACTACTGTAATAGTCTACTCTGTGGTATAAATCAAAACCTGATAAACAAACTTCAAATTATGCAAAACACTGCAGCAAGAACCGTCTGCAGGTCAGGCAGAAACTGTCAGATAACACATGTCTCCAAGGCGTTGCACTGGCTACCAATTACCCACAGAAACCATTTCAAACTATTGTGCATAGCCCATAGATGTTTAACTGGATCAGCCCCAGATTATATTGGCTCAATGCTATCTGAATGTAACCCCAAACGCACCCTGAGGTCACCACATGATCGCCTTCTAACAGTGTCAAGTTATAGACTTCAATCCTTTGGGTTTTGACGATTTTTCCTCATTGTACCAAAACAATGGAACTCTTTACTTGTGTATCTCAAAACTTCGCAATGTTTGGCAACTTTCGAATGAAAACTAAAATCTCTTCTGCTTGAACCCCATTATAAAGAGTGAACTATAAAACTGAAGAGCTAAACAAACCCGTCCCATAATCGTATTGTTTGGATGGAATGCGCGCAAAATAAATATTCACTACCATTATTATTATTTTACCAGTCGACGACTTGGCATGGTACCACCAGCCATAGCCAGCGGTCCCTTGCATTGTTGGGCGTTAAATTATTCTTAATACTGAATATTGGTACATTTATGGAAAATAATTATATTTCTTTGGCTGTAGATTTTTATGTTGAATTTGATAGCCGCAGTTAATGATAATTATTATATTTTCAGAAGACTAGGCGAATCATCCAAAGACCCTTGATTGTTATCAGGCTGTCTGGCAACTGATCATTAGCGTCTGGTCAAATGATCATTGTGGCTAACCATGGAATTCAATACAATTACACAACAGTTCAATAGAATTTCCTATTTACTTACACTCATTTTGATGGAAGGGCACCTGTTTGAATCGCAGTGAGGTTTCTCATGCACATCTAAGTCCTGCTCTTATTTGCATATCATCTGTGCATAAAGGTGGCTGCGTACCTCTTACATTGGATGCATAGATCGATGGCATTTCAGTCCATTATATCTGTGTAAATACTGAACGGAATTGAATCATTTTTGGACTGATATATTCCAATTTGAGATTCAACCTTTACTGTTGTTTGCGAGGGAATCCTATATCGCTCAAATCACGCCCTTCGGGATTTTCCGGTATGGTTTCCCCTTGTCAGTAGTGCAGGACGAAAGGCCTGCATAAGGTCAGCTGTTTAGTGGTTGGGATATGGCAACAAATCGAGGTTCCGTGTATACACTGATATGCACGTAAAATATCCCTTGACAGTTGGAATGCGATATAATAGTAGGCCGTAGCGTCGCTGTCCAAGCAAACTTTCCCCAATAGCACACTATATGGTGTATACCCGTCTTCATTAGCCCAGTCGGAGCAGAACAGTGAGACTTTAACCCCAGTAACTGATGGCCTGGATAATCAGCGTTTATTAAATTTCTGTAATGAAAAAAAATATCATTTTAAGTGCAATGAAATAACATTTAGATCTCTCTGATTTACCTACAAAATAACAACTATGTAACTTACACTTGAGATGCTGTATTATATAATGATATAATTCTACAATTATTATCTAAAACAGCTGACAATAAACATAGCAGTTGTTCTTAATTACAATAATTTCCTTTGTTAGTGGAGCAGACAAGGGACAAAGTATAGTTGTTCGGATGGTAATGAAAAACCAATTGTTGTCTACAGCTACATTTTGGCGTGCACGTAAAAGATCCAGGTAAATTTGAGAGATCTCCATTTCATTTCATTTCATTTCATTTTCGGAG